TGTATCTTCACTTCTTGCCATTTTTATTATTCCAGGAGGTGATAAACTGAGTTGATGTATTGCAAGTATCAACTCTCTTAATTGCTCTTACATTTGTGCTATTCCACTCTTTATTTTAAGAAGCTCTACTATAATAATACTTAAAAAAAAAATGTCTAATATTGCTTAAGACAAATAAAAGAGAGGACTTGAGAATAAAGAAGATACTAAGAAAAATATTAGTTTAAAAGAGGATAATCTGTAACTTCTAATATACTTCGGTCTTATCAAGAGAAAGAGATAATCCATTCTTCATTAAGAGAATACAAAGCTCTAATATTGCAAGTATACTCTTATTAATCTGTCAAGAATATGAACTAGAAAAGATGTATAAATTTGAGAAACTTGTATCAAAAGAAAAATGACAAAATAGAAATAAAGTAGTATATATATTAAAAAGAAGCTAGAATGGCTATTGCCAAAAGACAAGGAAACTAAAGACACTTAAATCTAGAGTAGAAGCAAGAAATGAATTGATAAGAGTGAAGAAGGCTTCACTCTTATCTTTATACATATTATCTACTTGAGATCTATGTGGCGATGTTTTATAAGGCCTCTAGAAACATGTTGACTTTGTATGACATATATCTTGACTTGTAAGGTAAGTTTTCTATATGGCTGCCACATAGTTAGCTTGTTCTACAAGCTACCAACACATGTGGCATATAAGTAGCTTATTGACCAAGTTTCTAACCTACCAATCAACTACAAACAAATATAAAGTCAAAACAGCGTTTAAAAAGCTTTTAAGAAGCTTTTTTAAAAGGTATTATGAAATTAATCTACTTTTATCTAATTCTACCTACCTACATAATAATTACAGTAGGTATATATCTATGATATTTGCATAACTATTCAACACAACTTTTATCAATAATTTATAACATATCATATATTTTTGACTTGCCAACATACAATTCTTTCTATAGCAATTTGATTTTGTATACTTGTAGATTGACTAAGTTGCAATTATTAGAAGGCATTCAATCCATCCACATGTTAGGAATTATGATTTTCTTAGACTTTGTTCAAATTTATGATTACTAGAATTTTTAATATAAGTGGCATCTTTTATTTTTAAAATTTTTTTGAACATGTTTATGAAAATTGTGATGATATTATTTGTAATTTGTTTGTTTCTTTGTTTGTTCCATTATGATGATGTTATATTCACATTTTTATTTATATTAATTTAGAAAAATATGCTTATAATGATTAATTCAGAATATATTTTAAAAAATGAGTATTTATTTTTATAAAATCATAAAAAATATATAATATATATATATAAATTTATCAAGTTCAAAATAAATTTTAATCTTGTTAATGAGAAATTAAATTATTTTTTAAGGTTCATTATTTGAAAGCACCAATCAAATGAAATAAAATTAAGTTTTATAAAATATATTATCATCAAAATATGATTTTTTTTCTTATTTATTTAAAAAAAAATTATGGTATCTTCATGGAAGTGATAATGAAAAGGTGTTGCTAATGCCACCACATTTTTTGTTGTTGCCACCACAATCCATGACACACTCAACAAACTTATTTAGTTTTTTTTCATTCCAATAAAAAATTACGATTTTTTTAATATTATATCTTAACATCAGTAATAAATAAAATTAATAAAAACAAAAATAAAAACTTATTCTCATTAATAACATTGACAAAGGGAGTAGGTGACATGTTGTGGATGACGGTTTGTGGTGGCATTAGCAGTATTCTAATTAATTTATATAAAAATATAAATAAAAAAAACAATACAGACAGAGGATATTAATTAATTAACATCATCCAGCGTAATAGGGCCTCAAAACGCAACCTGGAATGATCCGGTGCCCGATTGAGATCCGCCCTGAAGATACCCGCGAAATTTGATACCCTGTCAGAACAATGCCGACTTGGAAGATGACGAATCAAAGGAGTTAGGATGTGCAGGAGACGACACCTAGCAGAGCCCCACTTCAGCTTGTGGGGGGGGGGGGGGGGGTCTTCGTCGTTCCTTATGGAAATTGGGGGGAGGGGGGGGGTGGGTCTTATTGAAGAGGGAGACTTGGGCAATTCGCGTGGGACCCAGGATTGATGACCTAATCGGAGCTCCAAGGTCGTGGAATCGAAGTGAATCCTCGAGAATCGCGTGGTCCATGATGGATGTGCTGAATCTGAAGGAGACCGGACGTTTTCGGGCAGCAGTTGGGAGTCGAATCTGGTGTTTTAGACTGCCCCTACGCTGCGATTCTTCTGAGAGTACCTTGAGCAGGGAGTTGCAATGTCGGTTGTGTTTTTGATGCTTAGATGGTTTGATTGAGCTCGGATTGTTTTATTTTGCTGTTTGCCGATGATCTGTTAGCAATTTGTTGGTTATGCTCGTGAAGCATGGGATCGGTCGGTCGGTGAGTATGTTGGGATGAGCTTCCGAATGCGAGTGTAACGTGGAATGCCTTTGGAGTAAAATGATAGTGAGTTCAAAATTTCTATTTCTCTGTTTTTGGATTAGGTTACTCGTGTTAACGGTTTGTTTGGACTATGTTTAGAAGTTAGTTTGTGCCTTGGGGTAACTTACAATTCGTGTCCATGTTTCATGTTCAAAGCTCCTGTTGCTCCGAAAATTGTAGCTACTTCGCAAGAATTGAAGTCTCTTGGATGTTTTTGCCACCCACGACTTTATATTCCTGAGATATGGAAGTAGTGAGGCTTGCGCTATTTTTTCTTCACAAAATATTACGATCCGAACAGGTTAGGTTCGATTCTCAGACATTTGTAGCATACATGATTGGCAAGTCAATTTAATTTTCACAGGTAAACCTTCAGCGCTAATCATTTCCGTTAAGTCTAAGCGTTAAGTCTAAGCGGGTTATACCATTATGGAACTGCAAAATCCAGTCCAAATTTTAATCTGCTTATATTTCGACAAGCTTTGATGGATAACAAGAGTAGAGGAGCCATGATCTGAAGTTTGAGCTGTGGTTGTTGACAGGGAGGAGCAGAGAGTGACGATGACACGTGTGGGTTAGAGGAAAAATCTGTGCCACCTACTACACATATCGATGAATCAGAGCTTGAGCTGGACAACGAACCTCAGCAGAAGCCAAGCTTTCCCTGCACCCCCACCCTTCTTTTGATCATCATATTCAGAAATGATGTATAGTGTTGCATTTCGTGCCCCGTGGGATCATTCTCCTACAGCCAACTGGTACAACCTTACGAACAATGTCTTAACCTCAACCACCCTCCACAAATACCATCGTATTCTTAGTTGGTTCACAGACCAGCATCCTTCCCCATTTGGCTCTCTCTCCTCTCCTCGGCCATGACAGCGGTACCCGGTTACGAAAGCAAATACAATCAAGCGGATTTGGATCATTACACTCCCTGAACTCTTTTATCCAACTCAATCCCCATTTGCCTTGACTGCAGCTCCTTCCGCAACCTCACCTTCGATCCATAACAATAACAATGGAGCAATGGCTATTTTTGATACGGAGAGATAGCCGTCAATGCTCATAAAAAATCAATCTTTCCGAACACAAATGACAGTTGGTGGCTCTGTTTTCACACGTTTCAAAAAACATACATGAATATAAATAACAAAAAATCATTCTACACATGTTTTGGCACCATCTCACTATCCAGTAAGTTTGAAATTCGACCACCTTCCTCTTTTACAAGGTTCAACCAGCTATTCACACCTAACATCTCATGGTTTACTCTCAACTTCAAGCAAATCCTACTTTAGAAATTTTCCTGAATAAATAAATTAATTTTCAAGCCATTTGCATGAATAAATTTGACTTGCTATTCACAGTTGGTACTTGCAATTGGACCCTTTGGATCTAGCGGAACAACTTTTTTTTTTTTTTCCAATGTCATATGATTGAATGAGAAAGACATGGCTGTGATTATGCTCATGCTTTTAGAGCTTGAACAACATAGTTGTTCGAAAACGTTAAAAAATAATAGTAACTCCCATCACAAGCAGACCCTCCTCACCACTGAATTTCCTAGAATATGGACTACCACAAACTTTTCCATCACAGACAAGGACTCTAGATTCCATGAATCTATGTGCCTCCTAATCTAAAGCCTCATCTACTCACCTCCATGGGATTCTCGCAGCACAGATTGCAAAAAAAGGGATGGCTTTCTACCAGATCACTAATCCTGAAGCATCATCTATCTGCTAGAGAACCGCCGGCAGGCAGGCAGACACCCGGTCGGACTCGACCCTTTCCCGGTTCTCAGTCCAGAAGATGACACCCGAGAGAAGGCACAACCGGGTAAGGGGGCGGGGGAGTGAGTGAGTGAGAGTGGTGGGAACAAGGGAGGGGAACTTCGTCACACACTCTCTCTCTCTCTCTCTCTCTCTCTCTCTCTGTGTGTGTGGTAGGGTAGTAGTGTGAGTCGTGTCCTGCGAGGGGAGGAGGAGGAAGCGGAAGCTCTATCTCTCGCTCTTCGCCTTTCTCCTCCGCGATGGTGAGGCGATGATGAAGAAGAACCAAACACGCTCCTCCTGCACTTTACACCATGCCAGACCCTTCTCTTTTCCACTTGTCAGCTTCTGCTTCTGCTGGTATGACTTTTTTCTTTTCCCTCGCGATTCCTTTCTCTCTCTTTGTGCGCTACGTATGAATGTCCAGGTGCCATGCCATTGAGTCCCGAATCGGCACTTTACGCTCCGATTTCAGTCAGGAGGAGGAGACCGTGAGTGCGCCACTGGATGGTGCTGTTTCAGTGGAGAGAAAGCGAGCGAGAGAGAGAGAGAGAGAGAGAGAGAGAGAGAGCGAGAGAGGGGGGAGAGAGTGAGTTTGGGTTTGTGTCTTTCAATCTGTTTTTTGTGAGCCTGAAAAGGGAGGTTGAGGGATTGGAGAGCGGTCTCGTGTGAATCGTGTTGCTGTGTGGGAGCTTTTCAGCAGGGGAACCCTTAATTAGGTAAGATATAACGGCATCTCCGGGTTTTTACAAGGAAGAGGTGGTGAGTGGTGTAGTTAAATGAGTTTGATTAGTCGGACGAACGGATTAGGTTTCAATAATTTCGTCATTATCTGTGGTTTTAATGTTGGGATGGGAATGAAGCCGTGTTGTGCTTCTTTTTCTTTTTCTTTCGTGTGGTGTTGATTTTGTTCGTTCGCCTTCTTTCGTGATGGTGGTGGAGAGAGTGTTTTTTTGGAGTTTTTGGAGTGTGTTAATTCAGCGACTGTAGGATTCTGACATAGATTAACGTCGTGGAGCTATTATATTTAGGATAGTTGTTTCAATTCAAGTCGGTTGAAAAACTATCGAGAGCAACCTGTAAGTTGAATTTGCCGTGGTGTTATATCGCCCATTCTACACGGGTTATCTCTAAGCTGGGAGACGCATTCACAAGCTTGTCGAAACTTGAAACACGGAGGGGTACCCTGGTTTCTTATTTTTTGGAAGAACTTCATAGCACTTTCAGCTGTGCCAGTTTACCCTTGCAGTTTTTACAGCTTTATTTTCAAAGCCTGTTTCGAGGAGCAAGCTAGAGAAATTTCCGTTTGTTATGAAACTGTTGACTGAGAAGCGAATGCACAAAGGGTATTGTCCATATTGTCATTTGAATTATTTTTCCCCTTTCCAAATGGCTACTGATGTTGTTGCATATGATATTCACCCGGATAATTTGGGCATTGCTCATGCTCAGTAACGTGGTTTTGTGCAAGGTCTTCGTGACATCAAACATAAACTGTGTCGGCGCTTGAATGAACTTGTTCGTGTTTACAGTACCCGATTATGAATTGAACCTCTGTGAAGATTTGTATATCACTACGAGTGTACGCTTGCTACGTTCTTAGCAAATTTCTTTCTGATATTCCAGAAGAGTTGACATGCTATTTCTACACTTGACAGCAATATTAGCTATCACAGCACGTATCATGACAGATGTGATGGATGCTGTGATTCTGCACAGTAGAGATCGGATTCTTACATTGATATGCGGGCCTGGGTTCTGATGGTAATAACAATGTCATTTTTATTCTGTTTTAGTTGAGGAAGACTGACCAACTTCACCCTTAACACTGATGAACTTTATCTGTTGAGATTCTTAGGAAACCTGGGGGACCGTGCAAGGCACAGACGTAGTGGCATGGGCAGGTCCATTGGCGGAGGTTATGATCCAGGGGCAGCATCTGCCTGTGGCCCAAGTAGTAGGTCAGAGCTATTTGGTGCAGATGTAAACGATCTACCTCGTAGGAGGGGGTCAATGGATGAGGCTGGAAGGCAGAGTTATTACGAATCATATTGGGATCGTTCTTATGCAAGCAATCAGAGATCATGGAGCACTGAACAAGACCATCGGCGGAGAGAGGGGCTGCAGGCTGGCTATGGCTTCTTTGCTGCTTTTGCATTTTTATCATTCTTCCGTGAGTATTTTTTTCTCACTAAGTATTTGATCATCCTTAAATCAGTTTTTATTTTTGCATGGTTTATAATCTTGCTAATTTTGGTTACATGTTTCATCTTCTTGTAAAGATTTATCGTATGCATTGCTATGCGACCTTGTATATTAAAGACGAGAAACATAAATGAGATAAATGTTTCTGCCATGTGATGTCTGCAATATTGTTTGTCTTTCTATCTTGTGTTCCACGTTGTTCGTATCTGTTTTCGTCATTAGCAGAGAGTTTCCGTCCATTTCTGTAATTGTTAGCTCGCAAAATTGCATTACAGTACCTGTCAGAAATTAGAGATATCTGGTTCTGGTCGCTCTACATTATGCATGAATTACCATAAATTCTCTATTTCCGAGCTCTATAACATGTATTTTTTAGAATTTCTTGTTGACATTTTGCGATTGTTTTGGTAATGGTGGACCAGTGTCGATGTGGATGTTATTTGGTCTTTATGGAAATCAACATCTAGAGATGGGTATGTTCTATGCACGGGTGGTAAAGGCTAATTCGATTTTTGTGAAGGAAGTAAAGGTAAGATTTTGACTTCTTGTTTGTGCAATATGTGGACAAGTTCGTCTTCAAGCAAAGTCAGTTACTGTGGTTACCAGATGTATTACTACACTTTAAATGTTCTTTTTCTCCTTTTTTTTATATATCTTAATTTTAGGATTAACCGATTCTAGCTTATGCTTCCTTCACATTACTTGTAATGGGAGCCTACATGTCTCAGAGGCAGTCATTTACGTGATGTTTGAAGATCTTGGTGTATGATACTTGATTAAGAAGATGGGCAACTTGAAACTTGCAACTTGCATCGGGAATATCGTTGGATAATGTTCATTGATGATCTTGGATATGAGCAGGATCTGATTCATTTGCCCTTTTTTACACGTGAATAATGTTTTCATGCTAATTCCTGAGCATATACAGATAAATTTCAAGGAAAAAGGGCCAGTTGCTTATATGTTTCTTAACCGGCCTGAACTGGGTCCTTCTGTATCCGATAAAAAAATAGTTGAGGATATTGTTGTAGACCCAAGGTGGCACAAGGTACTTGCTTGACCTGTTGTCCGGAAAGTTTTAAAATCATCTGTTCTTTCTGTTCCTGTCCTTTTTTTGATTCAGTATACCGATGTTATTACAATGATTAACAGACGTGAGTTTTGAATTCGCAGCGTTTTACGTATTGGTTAAATTCAGGCTCGTATCTTGAGGTATCATGCAGCTTGAAAGCTTCTGGGACTGGAACAGACAGCTTAATTGTTGCTATTGTCAAAGGTAAGAGCTCCTGCTACTATCTGTTTATCGACTGCAATTAATGAAGCCCTCATATCTTTTTTCCAACAACAATACTCGCGTATACTCGGAACAAATCCAGTGAACCAGCAGCTTTATAGCTCCGATTTTTACAGCGGATTGTCAAGGTATATTGAGTATCTGAGAATTTGGTTCAATATGACCGAGGATATGTACAAAGCAACAGATCCCTTTAGAACCCCTTTCAACTTGTATCATTTGTACTTCAATATTTATTTTAACTATAAGGTTGTTTATATAAATATAAGAGACTCTTGCATTGAGGTTTTCAATATCCTTCAAAATATTCTTGATGTTGTGCGTACTGTTTGTGGAAACTACACACTTAAACCTACTTTTGTAGTGATGAATTAGCTTATAACATTTGTTTGTACAATTCTTATTTATTTTATTTTATTTTTTTGACGTTTTTAATGCTGATCGTAACGCAATTTGTTGTGCAGGTGAAGATGGTTTTCAAGATTGGAAAGGAGATCCAAGTAATCCCAGCCTGGCGTTGAGGTGGAAACGCGTTCATGGTATGTCATGGAAGAACCTCTAGAGCTGCACCTTCTTGGTTTGGGCCCTCTTTCTGGAGTAAATTATTGTATTTTCGATCGAAACCATTGTTGGTAGGTATTATCATATACCATGGTTGTTTTTTATATAATATTTGGTTGTTTGCATAGGATATGCTGGACAGTTATTATCTTTTTTCTCCATTTTAGTCTCTAGGTGATTTGCAAATAATCCTTCAATTGAATGTGCGTCTGAATACTCAAGGTGGATATCACATTTGATGAGTAGAGAAAGGAGTATTGAGTTTGAAGGTGGAAGAGGATGATGACTATTGCATAGTCTTTGGCAATTTGAACAACCGCAAGATAACTGTGAGTAATTAGTGTTCTTACTTTTATCATGATACCCTAAACCTGGTTGTAAAGATTTATCGTAAATAATCATTCTGATGATCAAAACAGCATTCACTTTCTACGAGTGAAAGAATGAAATCCAGCATAAGTCAATTCTTATGAAGTGAAATTATCGACACACTTTTGAATCCCACCAGTTGTTTTACATTTATTTATTTGATGAGTCTTTTTGGTTCATTCGTTACTCATGAATGATATTTCGAGAAACTGATTCTAGCTATGGTAGGTTTCTCCATGATACTTTTGTGTTATTATTAGAAATGACCAGTTGTAAGTATCTTGGCTTCATTAGAATGATTGGTAGTATTTTATACCATCATTTATAACACTCGTTTATTTAAAAGTAATCGGCTAGTTTCCATATGGCGGTACAAATTGTGATCATTCCATTAATCTTGTTGCATGAATCATTGCCATTTAAAAAGAAAAGATAAAAGAGTTAGTTTTTAAAAATACTAGTGCTTTCAGTTATACAAAATCTATATACGGCCTTATTTTCCTCTTCGTAACTTTTCTCCTCCTTGTTATACAGTTTTCCTTCATGCTAGACTTGCGCTATGTACTTTACTCCAAGGACAATTCAGATTTTGTCTGCTCCTCTCAGCTCACAGATGTTTGCGAGTTTCCTGTTGCACTCGGGCAATCTACATATGTGTTGCTCACCTCTCCAGTGGTTGACATGGTAATATTTGTGCCTTCCTTTTTTTTTTTTCTTTATTAAGAATTGTTCATTTTCTCATTTGGTTCTTTTTGTCTCTCCTGTGTTGAGTCCAAGTCAAATTTGATGATTCTGTACTAGCTCAAATCATTGCACCCTGCAAGTAATAGTAAATAATCATTCTGATGATCAAAACAGCATTCACTTTCTACGATTGAAAGAATGAAATCCAGCTTAAGTCAATTCTTATGAAGTGAAATTATCGACACACTTTTGAATCCTACCAGCATTTGTGGTCTGTAAATTCTTGCAGCAAGGAGTGAAGATATGGTACACTAAATTATCGTACATTCCTCGCTGGATCACATACATTTTTTTTTGGGGTAAGTTATCATTGTATTCCATTTCATGTTAAACTGTGTTCTATGGTACCATAACCTTATTATTATAACCAAGCATGGGTGGAAAGGAATAGAAATGATTCACAAGAGTTTTTGCCTATTTGAAAGATATTTGAAGCTGTTAACATTTACAATTGATACATGTTTTTCAAGCCAAATGATTGCTTGGTTCGGTTAGGATTTGTGTGCATCCAAGCCCTTAAGCTAAAACTGAACACGTGGTTTGGTCCGCAATTCTATCTGCTTCAATAATCTGATGAGATGTCCTTGGTACGTAATTTTCTGAAGGATTCGTACGCATCCAAATGATCAAATGATATGGATACATTGAAACAGAGTAAATTCTTCTTGGAAAAGCTCTTCGTATATGGAAGTACTTACTGGAAGGGTACTGCGTTAGCGATAAGATTGTAACCATTCTCGTTCGTCAAACAGGTCTAGTTGCTGTTGGGCTGCTCTTTACAAGAGCTTTCGAACTAAGGCATGTGAGGTCACAAGTTCCCTTATCTCAGGAGCATGCTCCCACAGTTCCAGAAGATGCTAGCCATTATCCTGCACAAGCCTCAGCGTACTCTTTACTCCAGGCAGACGAAACGAATTCAGAGAAAGCAAGCGTACATGAAAATCGGCACTGCACTATATGTTTGGATGCTCCAAAGGACAGTTTCTTTGATCCATGTGGCCATCGGTGCACCTGTTACTCTTGTGGAATGAGGTGAACCTCCTCCTTGGACCTAATTTGTTTTCCGTCTAAACATTAGATACGCCTTGATGATCACAATAGTTGGTTAGAAGAATTTTGAACAGGTAAACAACGGTGCACGCTGCGTTTTACCTCGTAGATTCAGAGCTTACAATTGTTTGTCGAGATTGATGTCGATGGATTTGCTATGCTGACAGGATACGAGGAGACTCTAATAGATGCCCAATATGTCGACAAACAATCCGCACCGTGCGGAGGATTTATGATGCTTGACTCAGGTGGATGCCTGCCACTTAAATCAAGTGCTTACTGGCCTGTGGTGGCATTGAGTTGATAAATTCGTATCTATGTCAATGAAAGAGAACAAGGCAAGGTAGTATGTTTCTTCAGTCTACATCCACGTTCTTTTGGGTGAGATTGTGCTTGGCGCAATCCACTGCACATCTCGAAGGACGTGAACTTTTTGCAACCCGGACGAAGCTCTGGTGTTATTGGCTCAAGCTGTATTTTAGTTAGGACATTATTCCTTTCACGAAGAAAGTATTTCGCATGAAATTCTGATATTTGTGAAAGGTGAGATGACATAAACTGGCGCATTTCAGGTGATTACGTATCTTTCTGTACACAACCGTGCAAATTCACTTATACTACCAGGTGAAGGATCTCGGTGTAGGAAGGTTTGGAAGTGGAGTGTAGGGGATGGGCATTTTCTCTTCAAGCCAGCAAGTGTTCCTGCGAGAGCCTGCCACAGTGTACTGCGAATGGCAGCTATACCACAGAGCTGAAAAGATGCTTTAGGAGTTGTAGGACTCGAAACATCACGAGACAATCTTGAAATCCCACTCCTTGATATTTGATTCGTCTTTCGTCATGAGCACTACCGTGTGGATACCATGTGCCGATTTATGATGACTCGACGTATAACTGATTCAGACAATTTTCTGAAGAAAATGCCTATTTCTTATAAATAAATCTGATTAATTATGCACTTCTGAAAGAACTAGATAGACTTGATACCTACCATCACATTTTAAAACGATTGCCATAATTTTCTTGTCACGTAAAAATTATCCGAGTAAAGTAATGCCACTAAAGTTTGGCAGTTTTACTTCATGCAGTGCGAATATGAATAGCCCAGAGACAAGCCCAGCTGGGTAATCCTTTCGGATTCGCCGCTACACTGGAAGATCCTCTAATTCATCGATATATCGAGAGTACTGATGTAATGGCACCAACGAAAGATTGGTACCAGATTGCCTAACAGTATAATTTGACATATTACAAAATTAATGTAGATATAACTACCACTAACTGTGAAGCCAGAACTCACATAAGCATGAACAGCAATAACTCCTCCAGAAGCTTTGTAGCGCCCCTGATACAGAAACACTTGCAAGGTTCCTTCACTTGAACTTAATGTTGGCTACACCGTTGGCAGTAGCACATGCATGTAGGAGAGCTTGTCCACTAGTACACGAATCAAGAAATGGAGCATTTTACAACGATTGGGTGTGAGCAATGGGGACAAGAGCCGAACAACACGTCGAAGGACCTGTAAACATGAACCAAGCGATTACCAGCGTTGTGAGTTAAGCTATAATCGTTTCAGTTCAAAAGCAAACAATATTTCCAAATATATCCATGGATAGCAAAAACGTATTGATTAGAATACTAAGTAGATAGAACACGTCCTTCTCAAAGATTACAAGTAAGATCACGAGAGGACTTACTGTCGTGTGGTAGGCAAAGAACGAAGCCACTCAGCTAGACATGAAGTATGGAACGGTCGTCCGCAGCTCCCATTGTCACAAACACGATCTGGTACACTGCCTCTTTCGCTAGCACCCTCTTTTCCTGTATATACAGTTCTAGTTAACGTTTTTCAAACGACTGATGAAACAAGTTATGGAACTGAGGCTACAGTTTCAGCGTTTGAGATACCATAGAACGACATGCAGCTGATTTGCATCATTCATAAGGAAGGTTTTGATGGCTAAGTTAGAGGACTCAGCTTTGACGCCTATCGTATAACCATGAGTTTATTTGAGATGAAACCTAGGCAGCTTATATCACAAGATACTGAAGAGTATGCAAAAGCTTGTTGTTCTAACATATATGAATAGTTCAGTGAAAATAAAAGGATGGATACCATCAAGTAACCGATAGCTGTAGCAGATGATACATTCTGAACTGACATCATCACGGTTAGAATCTTGCGGGGATGGGAATGTCACATCTAATAAATCCTCCAAATTTTCTCTGACGAGCCTCTCCATCCTCCTGCACGGGTGGTTTGTGCAGGTCACAATATCAAATCAAACATAATAATGTGTCCAACTCCTAGAAACCCCAACAGAAATATGAATATGGCAAAGAATATCACAGATGATGTTGTGACGTTGTTCAGTACCAGCAGTCCATATTGCTGGACATTCGTTGTCGAAGAGGGTCAACTGATGTGTCCGATCCAAAAAAACGGTACCTGGTAAACAGCTCGAGCAACAAATTGGAGATAAATAATAAATCTTGATTTTGGAGATATTCGATGCCTCAAAAGTTCTAGTATTTTGAGTTCGAGAAGAGAAGTTCTACTGAATATAGACTGCGAAACATATTCTATACCAACTCTCTTATATATGACTGCAAACTTCATTGTGTTAAACGAAAGCGTGTAGCCTTACTCCGGTAGCACTCGAGGTGACAACGGTTCAACGGTGATGCACAACGAGCAGTGACCACCTGCGAGGATTCTGGCAACATCAGTCATGACCAATGATTGTAGAAACAATCACAGAGTTATGCTAGGCATATTCTATTAAGAAACTGACTTAGGACTTACGAGTGTGATTCGAGAAAGCGATTTTTATGACATTCGTACCGAGAGCAATTCGGCGGAAGCAATTTGAGCGAGAGGGATGTTCTGGCTCCATCACCCACACATGCTTGTCAATATCTTCCATTACAATCCAAAAGTCTTGAAACTTCTCCGCAGCCTACACATACCAATAAACTCCGCACCATTTACTGGATAAAAGCACTTCAGGGGGCTTCAATGAAATCAGTAAGATGGTAATTCACATACACATTTCTGCAAGTACTGTAATATTTTATGAAGGTGGAGTTTAAGTGATTACCTGTTCAAACTGAGAAAGAATGTCTTTCAACCGACCTCCTGCTCGCCACTGTACTTCCACCGCAATGGGGAGGTCCTGCAATCTAGTCACATAGCGATTGATCACCTCTCTGCCATGCTTTCCTATGCGACACTTAAGTCCACACGGATTTTGAGACTGGATCTAGCTGTAGAGCTTTAACGAGATTGCGAACTGGGGGTATGAGGAAGGCAAGAGTAACTGAAGCTAGTTCGAAAGTCACCCTTAGTTAAATTATGAAACTGAATAACTAAAAACATGCGAAGCGATGAAGTTAAACTTCTCGCAAACCGAACATTCTTCATCATGCAATCTGTTGAGGCAACAAGTGTCAGAAACAGACATTTAAGATGAGGGTTGCTGTGAACCCAATATTGATCACTTTGGCTCATACGTATATTGGTAGAACTCACAGCATTGCACGAAGGCTCTCTTTCTGGATAGTCCGACGATAGTTGTATTTGCACGAGATGCTCCCGTTTTGCTTCGTCACTGGAGCCGGAGGAAATAGGAAGTCTCGGGTCAGTTATCTTCTCTCAAGCATAACAGAAACATCAGTGCATAGTCATTCGTTAGGAAACAATAACCCGAACAAAAATGTAGCTATATCAAAAGGCTGGATTCATCAAAATGTCTGATAAAGTTTTACAGAACATAGGTAATGGTGATTATATTCTGTTCGTAAAGAGCGAAATACTTTAATCGAAAAGAAGCTCCAGTAACACCAATGTAACTATCTTGCTCTGCAGAGCGCGATGAAAGGTAACATATGTATGAAGTGCAGTAGCAAGCACAAGTATAAGCACAGTGACACTCATTTGATGATATTTTCTGAGGGACTCACAAGAACCGAAGATGGATGGACATGAAATTTGGAGCGATCCATGCGACGTGTTCCCAACCGATCTCTTCTATCTGCACACATATACGGATCGGATAATCTCTAGGTTCCGAAAAATAAGCACTGACGAGACAGAGCAAATGTAAAGACGAAACGATTCCGAACCGAATAAATAGTGACTCAACACCAATTTTTTGGGGTTCCATGTGCATGCTAGTCTATGAACTCGTGTCACCGTCAGCAACTGAAGCTTTGCACTACATGCATGGTTGATGTGTAATCAAGGAGTTTAGCAGGTATACGAGATAGGGTTCGGTAATTTTCCGATGGGTTTTTTCATGAATTTTGATTGCGAAGGTTAGAAAATAAATTGAAAGCATCCAATGTCTCAAGACACAATACTACATATGCCTGCGGTTGTGTTTTCCAAAATAAATTCAAATGATACCAAGGTGTGCACATAAGAAGAGACGTCTTACCTCAGAATAAATGCGCACGTAAAACTCCGCCAATGGTAACTTCACCTGAGGTTGGGCAATCAAGATATGTTCCTGCACCAGAACTTTGCTTCTTCAGCACCTTCCCTTCTCTAAATGAGACATTTCATCACCAAAAACATGCTGCGAAAGCGATCAAATCATGACGTTACATACCAGAACATCCTTAAGCTCCTCAACAAACGTTGTCACGTCCGAACTCTGTTTCATTCTCTGTAGACACAAAAGGAGCAAACTATTACAGCGTCATCCACAATCTGCATCAGGACCAGCGACTTAATAATTCTTTTCCATCGAACAAAATTAAATCTAGTAATTGCTATTGCAATGAATACAGAAGACACAAGCTGATTAGAAATCACCTCATGTACGATGTGCTCAAATCCAGTAAGCAGTGAGAGGAGATTGCCACAGCAATCTAGATTCGCATTGCACAGGGTCTTCCCAGCCTCCACATTGTGTATTCCTACAACAAATTCTTTATCCTACACACAATCGTACAATCAGAGAATCTGACAACATCCGAATAATTCCTGTACGCGATCAACACCTGCAACGGCACCTATGGCTTTGCATTTCACACAATCGCCCTTACCCAGAACCCTAATTTAAGACTAAGAAAAATGAACAAAGTGTGTTCTCAAGAAAACAGACAGACCTTGACAGGTAACAGTATTCGGTACGCCGTGAAGTCGGCATTTAACGGCAATACAGTCGGTGTCGTGGCCATTGCAATGAGTGTGTCTCAAATGAAACCCTCTCGTAGCACAGTTTCTTCCTTCCTCTTATGCCAGCGTGTAAGCCATCGGAGAAAGAGTACTTTCCAGATGGTAATGAAACCCAGCTCAGGCTAGCAATCGGACATGTGGCTCGTTACGAAGTTCGCCTTTATATGCATACCTTATTTCCGAGTCGTCCGTCAGCTACAATACACAGTACCCTGCGCAGGCTAGAATTTTCGATGACCCTGAGGTTGTGCTTCAGATCCAGAAACAGCCCACGTGAAAGTTGTAAATCAAGCAAGTTCAAAGACTGAGTTCATAAACATGCCTTGTATACGCATGCAAAGCCTGCTTTGAATTCGGAGGCTCCGACTAGGTTGCAGTTGAGACAAGCGTCCGGCAAAAACGCCGTTAGGTTACATTACCACAGTAAAGAGCAAACTCTGGCCAATATACTATAGTCGTTCAACGGACAATGACTGTAAAGTACAAGCCATCCTGCACAAATACCTGCCTCCAATAGGACAGAAACTCACATTACGGTTTAGGTCATTGTCAACTTAATTGGAGTACCAGTGATGCATAGCTCAGGAAATTCCGGGACAGATATAGTCACCGGCATCGGTGTTAATGAGTTCTGTTGACTTTTTGAGTGTTAATGGAGTAGTTCGAGTCTCCAAGAGAGCTCGAGGAATTTAGGTCACCAAATAATCCTGGATCGATGTGTGGCATATGCTGCAAAATAACACAGCTGTAAGGCAAGAAGACGTTGTTGCCTAACTCGTGATAAAGTCAGGTATTCACATGAGGAACAAGGACTGTTACAGGGAGTGGAGGGGATACGCTTGTGCGAACAAGGTGAGTGCGCTTCGTTAACAGAAAGACACAATCCTTGCTTTACGCACATCACCTTAGCCAACCGGCATCCAGCGAAACGGCTAAACGAACTAGACAGCAATAACTTTCAAGATCTCGAAAAGAAGTTAGGGGTTTGCACCAGATTTAGTATCAAATAGCAATGTCACGAGTTATTAGGTGGAAAACAGTTAGATAAAAGAGATAACATTTCACAGGAACATGAGGTGAATAATTCCAGAAAGAGATGTGGTGTTATAAAACACCATTGCAGTGGGAGGTGGATGCCACGCTCAAGATTACGCCCGTTCTCCCCTGATACGGCGAGCAAGCTGGATATCCTTAGGCATGATGGTCACACGCTTAGCGTGGATGGCACATAAATTGGTATCCTCGAACAAACCAACCAAGTAAGCTTCGGAGGCCTCCTGCAGAGCCAAAACGGCAGAACTCTGGAAGCGAAGATCGGTCTTGAAGTCCTGAGCGATCTCACGAACTAATCGCTGGAAGGGAAGTTTACGAATCAAGAGCTCAGTCGACTTCTGATACTTGCGAATCTCCCGGAGGGCGACAGTACCAGGCCTGTAACGGTGAGGTTTCTTCACACCGCCGGTGGCCGGAGCAGACTTGCGCGCAGCTTTAGTAGCAAGCTGCTTGCGGGGAGCCTTACCTCCAGTCGACTTCCTAGCAGTCTGCTTAGTACGCGCCATGATTAGCTAAGTAACAAAAGACGAGCCTACACAGTAGAGATTCTACAGCTCCGAAAAAGGCAATCAACACTGGAAGATGCGAGAGCATGAGCGAGAGAGAAGACCACACAGCCTTCGCATGTCGTTCGGAGAACAATTATAGAGCTCTAGAGAAGGGCTGAGAGGGTGGCGGGAAACAAAGAGCGGTAAAAATTCAAACTTAGGTCTTCCGCGCCATTTTTTTTGGTTCCAGGGTGGGTTCCCGCGCGTGCGCTGGTAACCGCTGGAGTCTCCTACTACCGTGTGATTAATTTAGGATTTGAACGCTTTCGAACAAGTCATAAAATGAATAGGCTCATGCAGAAAAACATATGTGGAAACGAACATAGATGGGATTATAAATGCATTCAGTTGGAGAAATATTAGTGGAATCATGTTTTAAATCTAGTCATTGCTTCAAGTTCTAAAATGAAAAAAGACATGTTTGGTGAATTTTGTACATTTTTGATAAGATTGAATTATGTGTTTGCATGATTTATATTATTTTTATTAATTTGTGAAAAAAATTATGATTTATTTAAATATACATTAAAAATATATGGATGATATATATATAATTGATATAATAATTTTGTATATTATAGGTTATTGTTTGTAATGACAATACTTTGTTTTTTCAATGCTTCAAATGATTTTGAAGTATTAAATTGGTATATATATATTTTTCATTTAATTTTAAATGAATTCAATAATTTATAATTTTTCATGTTAAAAAAACATATAAAGTGAAAAGTTTCAAATTTTTAAATTTCATGTCTCAATTTTGATTTGTATCCTACATGTGTATTGTTTTGTTTTTTTAAAAGTGTTCTTTTATACTTCATCTTTTAAGTACAACATTTTATTTTCACATTGCAATCACCAGAATAATCGTAGGTATTTAATTTTTTATATTAATAATTTATATAAAGAATATCAAAAAAATATATAAATACATAATTATAAACTATTTATTCTATAATATGTATTATCAATTAAATGCAACATATATGTTAAAACAAGGGAAATACTAAATAGATCTAAATTTTTACTAAATTAACTTATATATAATGAAAAATATGATATTCATGATGATGTCAATGACATGAATTTCAAAGAACTAAAAGATCAATATATTCTTGTATTACTCAAAAAGATTAAAAAATCACTCAAAGATAGTATAATATTAAACTAGAATGGCTATTGCTAAAGATACAAAGATTAAAAAAACTTGAAATAAGATTAAAGACTAAAAAGGTATTGAGAAGAATAAAGAAGGCTTCAATCTTGTATCTATATATACTATCCAACTAAGAGCTACGTGATAAAATCCTATATGACCTTTAATACATGTCCAATGTGCAAGACACATGTCTTAACTTGCAAGGCAAATTTCTTATATACAAATTATAATATAAGCTTGTACTACAAGCTATCCACATGTGCAACATAAGGCTAACTTGTTGGCTAAGTTTTTAACCTACCAATCAACTATAAACATGTATAAAGTCAAATATGCATCTACGAAGCTTTTAAGAAGCTTTGCCACAAAATTATATCAAATTTATCTATATTTATCTTTTATCTAATACTTCTTACATAAGTAAATATGAATGTCTATGATCTTACTTCTTCTTCTAAGGGTAAATTCAATGAAAAGCAATCATCATATATTGAAGAGGTCTTAGATATAACAAATTGTGTTTGATATATATTCTAATTTTTATTCCCTTTAAAGATATCAAGGATAAGAATTCAAAAAAGATATGTAAATAAGTGAGAAATGAATGAAAGAAAAATGAAAAAATAGAAATAAGAAAGTAAATATATTTGATAAGAAATTGGAATGGCTATTGCTAAAGATTAAGAAGCTAAAAACTCTTGAAACTAGATTGGTAGGAAGAAAAGAGTTAATAATAGTAAAAAAGGCTTAACTCTTGCCTCTATATATACTATCTACCTAAGAGTTACATGACAATGTTCTTTAAGACCTTCAATATGTATTCAATTTGCAAGATACATGTCTAACTTATTAGACAACTTTCTTATGTGTATACCACAAGTTATTAACACGTGGAGCATGTTGCTAATTTATTGGCAAAGTTTCTAACCTACCAATCACTTATAGACATGCATAAAGTTGAAAACACTTCTATGAAGCTTTTAAGAAGCTTTTCTACAAGATATTATTAATTTAATTTAACCTATTCATATTACTTGGATAACTATGAGAGTAAATAGATCTATGATAGTACTATTTTTTAAAAAATTGAATTCCACAAGGAACAATGATCAAATGTTGATGAAGTTCAAGATGCAACAAATTAAATTTGCTACATTCTTTGATCATTGTTTTGTTTGAGGGTAGTTGATAGGTCCTCTTGGCCATTGATAATATTCCATTCTAAGTAAGAAGACCACTTTATTATTTGATTATTGTTGAGGCCTTCATAACTTCTTTGAAAGAAAACATTGGTTATATTATCAAAAGTTATTTCTATCTCCAATAAAATCACCAAAGCTTAGGAGTCTCTTGCAAAATTGTGATACCAAATATTTTGTTCTTTAGGATCTTCATCTAAATTATGTCATCTTAAAGATTGTGACAATTACAATGTTTCATATAATAAATCAGCAAATGGTGGCTCTTGAGTTGAATCTATTGATTATAAATTCTCCATCTCATTGGCATTGCTAAAATATAAAGAATTTGTAATAAAGGATAGGAGATCAAATGTAATCTTCATTGAAAATCTCTTCCTTTATAGCAAAGAATTGCTTGATTCTTTATCTTGGTTTCATGGATTTCATTGATGAAAAGTTTTAATCTTTTTATTATAATTATAAGATTCTTTGTTGGCTTCTATGTATATTTATTAATATCATATTTATATTAATAAATAAGTTATTTTAATCTATTTTGGTACTACCTTGAATCTAAATTTTTTTCTACTTCAAATCCTTGATAATTATATATTTCTATAGGAGGCGATGGCATTTGTCTTCTTCTTGGAATATTTATTGTCTTTTATGGCTTACGAAAAGACTCATGAAATATAAGATGGAACTTCATTGATTCCAATAGATATAAATAATAAGCAACTGAACTAATTTATTTACAAATAGAAAAAGATTCAAAACTAAAATAATCCAATTTGTAACATAGATGAATAGTTTTAATATTGCAATGAATTAATTATACCTTATCACCCACATCAAATTGTGGTTGTTCCTTGCAATATGTATCCATTGTCATAATAGAGTTATTTGATTCAAGAAAGCATTGAGCCTTTGGCTACCACTAATTGCTCAAATAAGTTGTAAGTTTATAAAACACAAATTTTATCTATAATTGTCTTCATGAAGACATTTATATCAAATATACAAGTCTAAGATGCACAAGAATTCTCAAGATTTGACTAGATATCTTGAAAACCACTTCTATTCTTATGGATTTTTTTTTGAATATATATTAACTTATAACTTTTATTCTAACTATTTAGTTGGATTCAAATTTTTGTACAAGTTACCTAATATCTTTGAATAATTCTATGCAAAAAATCAACCATAAATTCATTATAAATTTATAGATATTTCTTTATTTCTAACAAGTACTAAAAATGTCAATTTCTTAGTACTCTCTCACTAAATCCACCATATCTCAAAAATCCAAAACTCAAATACTATGAATTTTTCATGCATAATTTTTTAACATAATCATCTATAATTATAGAAATTTTAAGCCAAAAATTTGTCCAAAAAAAGATATGGCCCAAATCAAAACCTCCACAAAAAAAAAAAAAAAAAAAAAAAAAAAAAAAAAAAAAAAATCACTTTCAAATTTTAATTTTGAGTACTAACTTCCATTTTTAATTACAAAACTTAAATTAAAAACTTAAATAAGTTAGATAAGTATTTATTTTATTTTTATTTTATTTTTAATTATAATTATAATTTAAATTTTAATAGTATTTAATAATATTTTTATATATTATACTACTTTCAACATGATATCATGTTGAACTTTTGTAATTTTTTAGCTTCTTTTATTTGTCCCTATATTTTTGCATATAGCTCTAAAATTCATTTGCAAAATCTTCCATCACAGGATTGTCAAATTTTAAAAAATCAAAGATATTTAATTGTAGATGATAATTATAATTGGTAAAAAAAATGTATTTTTTAAATAAAAGAATATATCAAATTATTATATGTAAATTGTGCCAATGGCCAAAGATTTGTCTAATCATCTTGATGATAATTGATGATACACCTCAAATATTACTCTAAAACTTAATTCACATGTTTTATTTATCTATCAATTTAAGCATAAAAGATTAAAGATAATTTTATATCTACTTTCAATATCTTAAAAAAATAATTTAAAATCTTAATACAAATTATATCTTTCTATCTTATATAATATTCTTTAATAATCCATAATAGCAATAGATGTTGTCAAAGAAAAGTTTAGCTATTTTTTCACTTGAAATAGATTTTTTACATTGTATGAAATGTGCCATTTTGGTAAAATATTCTATAATAATAAATATAAAATCATATGAATTTGAACTTCAAAGATTCGTAATACAATCCATAGAAATAAAAGACCATGGTTGTTCTAATATAGGCAATGGTTAAAAAAATCCATAAGATCAATGAAGAGGAGTTTTTGATTTTAAACAAATATCATATGACTATACAAAGTCTATCACAATCTTCTTCATTTGCAGCCACTAAAAATCTTTAGATATAAGCTTTAAAGTCTTATTGTATCTAAAATATTTTATCATTGGAAAGTCATGATGAGCTTAAAAAATATGTATATATATATATATATATATATATATATATATATATAGGCAACCTTTGAAATACAGTAGATTGTTCTTGAACTTGAAGTTAGAAGTATCATGAAACTTAAAAAAAATATTCTTAATATTAAAAGTAAGATAATTAAAGCACACAATTGATTGAATTTCCTTGACAAAGATTGAATTAATAGTCAATGTTGATTTTATTTCTCAAAGATGAAATTACTTGGGCTTCAAGACAACCATTTTTTATTAATCAAAAGTAATTTTTTTTTTGGTGCAAGATAAAAATGTC